GTCTGTCTGTCTGTCTGTCTGTGCATCTGTTTGTTCATCTGTCTGTCTGTGCATCTGTTTGTCTCTCCATCTGTCTGTCTCTCCGTCCGTCTGTCTGTCTGTCTCTCCGTCCGTCTGTCTGTTTGTTCATCTGTCTGTCTGTGCATCTGTCTCTCCGTCTGTCTTTGCATCCTGTCTGTCCTATTGAACTCCAGTATGCTGTAATGCTCCTGTCTGTCTGTCTCTGCATCTGTCTGTCTGTCCTGCTGTCTGTCTCTCCGTCTATCCGTCCGTCCTTCTGTCTGTGTGATCCGTCCGTCTGTCTGTTCATCTATCTGTCTCTCCGTCCATCTGTCTGTCTCCGCGTCTGTCTGTCCTGTTGAACTCCAGTATGCTGTAATGCTCCTGTCTGTCTGTCTGTAGGTTGTTCATTGGCAGAGTCCTCACATGCATGCGTATTTCCCTGCGCTCACCTCATGGCCGTCTCTGCTGGGTGACATGCTGGCAGACGCCATCAATTGCCTCGGCTTCACCTGGGTAAAAACACACACACACATATACACACACAACAATCTCTATGTCAGCCTTACGCGTCATGTTGAATAGTGTGTGTGTGTGTGTGTGTGTGTGTGTGTGTGTGTGTGTGTGTGTTGTGCAGGCATCTAGTCCAGCGTGCACTGAGCTGGAGATGTGTGTGTTGGACTGGTTGTGTAAAGCGCTCGGGTTGCCAGATCATTATTTACACCATCATCCACAGAGCAGCGGAGGAGGAATCCTGCAGGTATAAAACACACATCACAACTGACGTGCCAATCTGCATGTTTTCTGGTGACTTTTACAGTAGAAATGTCTGTAAGTCATTGCTGTGTGTAGAGTACGGTCAGTGAGTGTACGCTGGTCGCTCTGCTCGCCGCGAGGAAAGACCGAATCCTGCAGATGAAGAGTGAATGCACACACGCCGACACGGACGAGTCAGTGCTGAACTCCAGACTCATCGCATACGCCTCCGATCAGGTGCTTCACCAGCAATCAGAACGACCTGTTCACACGATGCTGCTCTTTGACGGTTCCTTCTGAAAGTGTCTTGGGGTTCATCATGAATGAGTGTGTTTTGTTCTGTAGGCTCATTCGTCAGTGGAGAAGGCCGGTCTGATCACTCTGGTGAAGATCAGATTCCTGGAGACGGACGAGGCGTTTTCTCTGCGTGGAGAAACCCTTCAGCACGCCATCGAGGAGGACCGCAGGAGAGGATTCGTGCCTGTGATGGTGAATGAGCCTCAGCTAATCAGCCATTGAGTTGGTTACTGTGCTGCCGTGTGACTGAGTGTGTGTGTGTGTGTGTGTGTGTGTGTGTGTCCTGCAGCTGTGTGCGACGCTCGGCTCCACCGGTGTGTGTTCGTTTGACCGTCTGGATGAGCTCGGCCCTGTCTGTAAGTGTCATGAATCAGAGAGTCGCTGAACTCTTCTTAAAAAGCATCAGCTTCTCTTGCACTGAAAAACTCTGCTTGTGCACCATAATTTTGAATAATATAAACCATATTTATATATCAGGATGTTTAAGTGCTTGTGAATGTTGTGCAGCACATGAATTACCGAGCTATTTGTCAGTAAAGTGTGTGTCTGTGTGTGTGTATCTCTGTGTGTGTGTGTGTATCTCTGTGTGTGTGTG